CCACTTGGCGTCGTACAGAAAAAGCGTCTCTTCGGAGGTTTCTGCATTTGTTAGAACCAGGTCTGAGTCCAGGCAGACTAATAGAGACATCTGGACTGGGAGGTGCTTGAAGGGGCCTCTGTGTTCTCACACTCAGCCAGTCAGCCGACCTAATCTCCCAGAAACCCTCACCACTAAATGAGTCTGACCTTGGTCTTGATTACGAGACTCTCAGCCCCAGGAATCATCCTATCTAGTGGTCTGACACCTCCAGGAGGTGGTTTGCAATTGCAGTTGTATCTTTGTGTGAGGTTTTTTTTCTGTTTAATATTCGATTTCAATTGTATTTGTTTAATACAAAGAAGTCCAGAAAATCCAGGCTCCAGAATGATGCATTCTTACTGTATTCTGACTAATTCGATGCCACCGGGGTCTGGGGCTGCCATTTACGGCTTCTGCAGTCAATCGCAGCTCCTTTCTGGGAAGGAGCAGTGTTTTGGGAAAAACAAACACTGCAGCCATAACTCAACCGCATCAGGGCTCAATTGTAAATCTTGTGCCAATTTGGGGAGAAGTAAAGAACTTTGTGTGGAATATAGAACAAGTACAATTTTTTTTTGCTGCAGATGGAAGATGAGAGAAAGGGGACAGTGATGGAGAAGAAGAAGAAAACTAAAAAGATTGGAGGAATGAAAATCAAATTCATACTTGAAGTCTGTCCCAACGTTGCCAAGAGGCAGTGGAGTGTATGAAGATCTGTGCTCATTTGCACATGATTGAAGAAATGAGACACGGGCAGAAAACAGAGACGTGTCAGTGAATGATGAACGCTGGATGTAATGGGAGGGTACATCATTTAACAAGGAGCAGAGGGAGAACAGCTCTGAGATGATTTGATTCTTTTGTTCACATGTGGTCTGTGGGACAATACTGTAAGACAAGAAGTGGATTTTAATATGGTGAAATTTGCACTGTGTTTTGGTTGTTGATAGATAGTGGTAAGGGGCGTTCGCGGGTCAGCTTCTGATGCTGTTGTAGCTCAAGCACAGCTGGTCGTACATGCAGTTGTTGAGGTCTAAGGTGTTAAAATCACATCAGATTCTCCATTGTTTTTTCCCTTTAACCTTAAAAAAACATATTCTTGGGAAAACTGAATCGTTTTCCATCAATCATTTTTAACTGGGACAGAATGGGCGTCACATAGTTCATGACACCCTGTGGATTTATGTCTGATTGGCTTAATGGACATTTTTCTGTCGACATTGAGTGAAGTCGAATAGAACAGCAGAGTGGAGCATGTTTTTGAAGTTTTTTTTTTTTCTTTGTGGCATTTGTTCCATAGATGACTTCTCATGACCATCAATCTGATCTGTTATTTTCCAAAGAATGATCTGTTACTACTGTTGTTTTTATTTTTTCAATTAACTCTCTTCAGAAACCAACAGAAATAAAATATAAACCATAGGCCATGTTGGAAACTATGATAAGAAGACAATTGAATTGTCATTTCTCGTATTTTTTGCAAAAATATATATGAACATTCAAAAAAGTACAATTAACGGTAGTAGAATTAATATTAGCTGTGTTAGTATCGGTGATAGTAATAGCAGTAGTATTAATAGTCATTTCATACTTTATTTAACCAGATTAGTTCTCATTTAGATTTAAAATCTCAGTTAGGACAGACCTGGCAATAACAACCATTTAAAATACTATAAAAATCATACAGTAAAAGGCAAAGTCATAAAATTATACCAAAGAACATAAGAGCATTTACATTGACCAACAGTCCTTTTTACACAGATATCATTTTTAAACATCCTCAGTATAAATCAGCCAACTATACGTTCCATTCCAAGACTTATATTCAGACTTAAATGACCGTTCTTTGATTTGACCTTTATTTCTCCCTGACCTTTCTTTGATAATACTTGGCAAAGTTGGATAATTCCATTTGTATTTCTAAACACATTTAACCCAAAATGTGTGTTTGTTCTTTGATCCCCAGAACAATATGGCGCTGACCTATGACCCCACTGCCATGCAGAATGGGTAAGTACAGAGATTTCTTCACATGTTTACAGAGGCAACAGTAGAGAAGGAGTCAGAGACCAAACTTTACTTGTTGCTCTTATTTTATACCGAATACCCCCCCCACACACACACACACAACTTTACAAGTTAAAGCAATGAAAAAACAAAACTGAAAAACCGACACAGAGACATGAAGAGCAGATCACACGTCCGCCCGCACTATGTCGTTCCTGCTGTTGTCCATCATCCTCTCTTATTGGCTTTATCCATTAATGCTTACACGATGTCAGACATCTAAGTTTTGATTGCAGGGTTGGGTGGTGTTTCAGCGCAGCTGTAAGACTTTCATCAGCCGAGGGTATCTGCACTGCTCCCAGGCTCAGTGCGGAGAGCAGTGTCTGACTCTTTCAGGGGGGAAATTGGAGATTGCTCCTGTCTGCAAGGAATGCTGCTGGTGATGTGATCCCAGGAGACGCTTCCCTCCAGATCTGTGTTTCTCTTCCCCTACGCCCTGTCTGCTCTTTCTTCCTCTCACTTTTTATCCACGCTATCCTCTTTTTCTCCTCTTTACTTTACTCTTGTCCTGTTGTGTTGCACACATCATTACCTCTGCTTGCTTCATATCACCTTTCAACCCATCCGTCCTTTTAGTCCAACTCCAACTTTTTCTGGACTTCTTCAATACTTTTCTCTCCTTTGGCATCTCCACTTTGTTTCACTCTTTTTCTCCTCTTATTTCTAAGCGTCTGCTTTTATGTCGGTCAGTGCTGAAGTCTACGTAGGCTTGCGTGTGAGCATCTGTGCACTGGTGATGCTTAAGCTCACTCCAACCTCTCCTCTGAGGTCATGTGAGATCCTTCCGGCAAAGCAGTAAATGACTGTGAAATGCTAATGTGGCTAATTAAAGAAAAAGCAGAGAGTGAAAGAGTTTGAGTTAAAAGGGAGGGCAGAGAGGGGTCAAGAGGAGGGTAGAGGCAAAAGTAAAGTGAGTCCAAGGAGAGGCGAATGTTAGGAAACAATTATAGATCCTCAGTCCACACTGGCAGCTGTTGTTGGGGTCTGCCGGCAGTTCAAGGTCAGTGTAAACATGTGTTCCCACTGTCCAGACTTCATTAGTCTCTTTTCTTCAAACTGTTTTTTTCTCTTTATTTCCCACCTCTGTTTACATTTTTTCTCATACTTTTTCACCCGAAATATTTTCAAAATGTTGGTATATTTTCACCAAATTCAGAAAATACGAAAATCTTAAGTAATTTGGTAATGCACTTACCAAAAGTCGTTCAAAAGGACAAAGAAAAACCTTTCAGACTGTCTGGTAAAAACTAACCCGTTTTAAAATTGACTTCTGAAACTTTACACAACAAGATTACACAATTGTTTTTGTTCTTCCACTGCTTCATTATTTATTGGACTTCTGCAGCCAAACTCTTCTTACCTAGAAAAAAAACAGCAACCTGACCGTAGGAGCAGTTGGAAGTGTTAGTTTATCATACCTTGCAGACTAAAGTAATTTTAGAAAATTTAAGAAATTCTAAGCCAAACTCTTTGTTGATCCACAGTCCGGTTCTGGCCCCATCCTGCTGGTTGTGAACCACCGGTTTAGCGCAAAACAAATCTTGCTTCCAAAGACCTAGCATCACGTTGATGTATCTGTTTGCTTTTCCATTAGTTATATGCTAATTACGTACTTCCCTCAGGTTGGATTTTTTTTTCTTCGGTATTTAGGTTTTAGAAAACAACACCTTAAAAATTATTTCCTTCACACATTTTGCTATTCAATAAATAATTTGTAATTTTAAAACAGAAAAAAGTGTTCAAGGGGAAGAAGTATAACCCTTTGCTGAAATGATACATTTTTTCCCTCCTGCCTTTACCTCTATCTGCCCTCATCTACCCCACCTGCCCGTGTACTGAAATACACATGTGCAGTTTATTTTAGCTGGAGTATCTTTGCTGAAAAGTCACTGAGGTTGACACTAAATCATTTGCTAATTTTTCAGGGCAAACTCCTGACCGTGCAGCTAGGTCACACCGGGGATTCACAGAGTGGTTTTAAATTCAATCCCGTCTTAATGTTCCTTTCGCAATTACATGTTTAGTGTATTGTTTAAACAGCCGTGCCAGAGTCCCTATTGACAGGGGTGCTGCTCAAGGCTAATAGCCTCCATCAATAACCTTGGATCTGTCCTCTACCCACTATTTCTCTCTCTCAATACACATCACTTTAATGAAAAATACAATGAACACGGTCAGAGAGCCATATTGAATAACCTGGATGTATTGGCTCATTTGTATTTATCAGTGACAGTAAAACACAACCTCTAATGTGACTCATATATTAATTTTATGCTCAAAATAATAAATCAGTACAACTGAGTAATTACCCAAGGTTTTATTTTAACACGTCTGTAGTCGTCACAGCTCTCATTTGAGATTCACATCCATGCGTTCAACTTTGTGCCTTGAATACAAGTGATAAAAGTACCGATTGATTAGTGTTATTTGATTAGATAATTACATTGGTTTTTAAATTCCCAAATGTTCATTTTTTTCTATCTATCTATCTATCTATCTATCTATCTATCTATCTATCTATCTATCTATCTATCTATCTATCTATCTATCTATCTATCTATCTATCTCTCTACCTCCATTAACAAGGCCTGAAGTAAATGACTCAGAATATTTGATGAACTGTAGAAACAATTATTTAAACAAAAGATTATTCTTTCATTCTGGTTTTGGTATTTTTGGTAATGAACTCCAACCCTTTTGTTATGCTACAGGACAATCTGGGCCTCTTTCTTCTTTGGCAAAGGGAAGACCAGAGTCTGTTTTTCTTTAAAACAGTCTGAAAAGTGAACTCTTCTGATTGGAGCGGTCCAGACAGTATTAAGCAAAGATATTACCTCACCATTTAAACTTTCTTTTGTCCTTCTGCCTGTTAAATAAAGGTTTAGGGGAATCACCAAAGGACAAATCTTTTATTTGCATCCTTTGTTTTTTCCTACAATTTCTGGAATTATTGGCATAACAGGAACTCATTCACCTTGGTCATTATGTGTGTGTGTGCAGTAGAATATCACTGATGCATCTACATGACCCTGCCTGTGTGTGGTGTGTACCATATCTTATTATAAATATTTATGTCTGTTAAAGGATAAACATTTGGTTTGGAGTTATGGTTAGAATTACAGTAGGGTCAATTTAGGCCTAAATTAAGGATTAAAATTAGGGAACATATTTTTGCAATGGTTAATGTAAAGGTAAGGGTATAGGGAGTCCACTGTGCTCACAAAACACAATGCATGAGCCAGTGTTAAGGTGGTGGTGGCAGGAGGTGGGAAGGGCTGTGTGTCAGTGTGTTTGTGTTTGTGTTTTGAGTGCTCTCCCAATTAAACATCACTTCATTTGTTGCATGTGCCTTTTTTATACAATCATGGCTGTTGGAGAGTTTACCCCCTGCTCCCCCACCTCTCTCTCCCTCTGTGTCTCCTACTTCCTCTGTCTTTACCGCTCTCTCTCTCTCTTTCTCTCTCTCTCTCCCTCTCTCCCTCTCTCTCTCCCATTCTCCTTATTTGTCTCTCCTTTGCTCCATTATTCAGTCAACAGACACTCAGGGATCGATCGGGCACAGCAACACGGCCTGGCGAATGAAACATGTCCTCTCCCAGTACACAGTGATAAATAAAGAACCCTGAGCCACAGCTTTCTAACAGTGGTGCACTGAGGAGGGGGGGAAAAGAGGATAAATGTGTTAAAACAGGAGAGGCTAACAAACGGTTAGTAAGTCAAATAAATAGCGTATAAAAATGAGATGTTACTTATGCCGCCTTTCCTTTAAAAGTGAATTATGAATAAGTAAAAACAACAAGAGCTGCTGTTCTGACTGACTGTAATGTTTCTCCCACTCACACATTAAAGTGATAATTTGTTATTTTGCACAGCGGCAGCAGCGACAGAGCAGACTGCTTTGTACCATGATGTGTTCCACGGTGCAGTGTCAGGTCTCATCATAAGACGTCTTTGATAGTGTGGCACAGAGTGAGGCTCCGGTATTTATATTGTTTCCCAGGCTGCCTTGATGACGATGTCTGATCCATTTTCACAGTGGTATCCTCAAGTACACAGGGTGCTGTAAACAAAGGATCACAAAAAGGATTATTTACAACAAGAAGAGTCAGGAGAACTAAAGGTGCATGTGCACAAGAAGGGATTTGACTGACATTGTAATTATATCCAGTAAATGACAAATAATTTGAGGAGTAATGGCGTGTCTTCCATGTCAGCACATCGTGGTACTGCTGCGTGTCAACTACAGCTGAATGGAGGAACAAAGACAGTTTACTCATGGCAGGGACCAGGAAACGGGGCAGGGGTCAGGTATCCATGACCGCCCGTAGATTCTAAGTAGTCTGTTCCTAGACATCCTGGGAATTATGTCCAGTCTCTGGGTAGTTTGTCATGACTCCAAAGAACAGAAAGTGTCATTGGCCACATTTGAGACATAATCACACAGCTGCACAAAGTCTGTTTTTCTTCTTTAAGTAAGTCTTTATTAAATTAGTTGATGATGTTTAGACCCAGTAACCACTGCATGGCCACTGCTTGATCCAAAATAGAAACATAAACATAGAAACGCAAGTACAAATACATTTTTACACTTGTAGGCAATTTCTCTGTTTTGCTCTGCGTGATAAAAGTCATTTCTTTGTGGCGGTGTGCATTCTGTCAGTCATATTTGCTGTGCAGTTGTCTTTTTATTTTAGTTCTCTGCATGCTCAATGCTGCTGTAGCATCAGTCTCCTCCGTGAATATGTGGCACATCTCCACAGAATAATGAATTTGTTTGTGCAAATTCTTGCTTTTCTCTGGCGATGAACATGTCAGAAGATGCACTCGCCTTATCTTTGGCATGTCTTACACATGTAAACTAACAGAGAGTTTAGAGAATTGGATGATTTTTATTTTCCATCCCTAATAAGTGTGCAGGCACTGACACAAATATGCAAGCAGAGTGAGAGAAACAGATATTTATCTATCTGTCTGTCTATCCATACAAATTAGAGCATTTCTTCTGTGTACAAAGACGAGCCTGTGCCTTTTTTTTCTTACCCAATCTGAGTTTACAGATGTCTAACGATGCTGTCTTTGTTTTGCGTTGGCACAAACGCACACACATGCACGCAGAAAAAGACAGGGACCAAAAGAGACAATCACACAGGCTTCACTATAAATGAATGGATTCATTTGCACTTCACAGGTCAATTATTTTGCGGAGGCAATTAAAAAAAACAGGGAAAAACTGTAGAAATTGTACCTGCTCTTTGTGTACCAGACACATTAGCTTTGCTGATGCTGCGGTACACATCGCATGCATAAATTGTTGCCCTTACCACTGTATGCAATATGGTCAAATTAACACTGAATTATACAGATAGCCCTTATAAAACACCCATTCAATCATTCAAAATGAATCACCTCAGTTATTTTTAGATACTCACAGAAACCGTTTGTTCCTGTGAATATCTGTCAAGTTTCCATCTTCCCTCTGTATTTTCTTGTTTTTCCCTTTTGGTTGCAAGAAAATGGACACACATGTTGTTTACTGATGCAGAAAAAAAAAAAAAAAACAGTGGTGTCAGTATTGCAACTGACAAGAATCCTAACCATAAAGAAGTGAGGCCGACAGTGTTAGCAGACTTGTGTTAGCTTGTCCTACTCTTGTTAGAGGCTCACTCTCAAAATAAAACTGCGCATGTTTCTTTTTCTTTATTTATTTTTTATATACTACTTAAACTAGCTAACATGCTGTTTACAAGCACAGATTGCTATGTGCTAAGTGTCCTGAAACCTTGTAATCATCA